CTTTTCTTTTTTAACTTTCTGTCACTTTAAGACCCAAATGAAGAGGCGCTGGAACTGGCCACACCCACTGATCCTGTTGTCGAACTTAAACAGGTTTCAGGTAAAACAAAGTGTATTTCTATCATTTTTACCAAGTCCACACCACTGCAAGTTTTCCTGAATCACCTGCAACAGATTGTTCACACATGTTAAAGGTTTTCATTAGCACAACGCAAAATTGAACACTTGTTTCACAATCAAAGTATAAAAGTTGTTTTGTTGGACAATAAAGAAAAACAATGTCCCAAACTTAATGAATCTTAACGAGATTAAAAGTGTGCACAAAAGTGTTTTTTAGTATTTTTAGGGGGAAAGAAATGGTCTTTAATAGACAATCAAACAATATTTGTTGGTATTTATGTTTAAACAGAAGCAGACAGAACTCCATCAGCCAGTTTGTCTAATCATTGTTTTCTTTTCCAGTTCAAAGGACTCCTGAAGAAGCTTATGGTAAATACTGGTTTGCACATTCTTTGCACCTCAGTCCATTTGGACTGAAATGGACTTTCAAAATAAAAGATTGAGTGCATTAACAAAACAGTGCGAGTGATGGTCAGTGGACTGTAAAACAAATCTAAATGAGAAAACAGGTTCTTCATCTCCTAATACCATCACCTAACCCTGACCCTCCATCAGCTTCCACTGCTCTGTTTCACTGTTTGACACCAAGCCTCTGCTGTTTATTTCCAGCTTGCAACGTTCTCTACATACACTCTGTGGACATGGAGTCTCTCACGGGGCCTCAGGCCGTTGCGAAGGCCATCAGTCAGACGTTGGCGACCAACCCTCTTCCTGCTGCCACCACCGTCCACTTTAAAGTGTCCACCCAGGGCATCACGCTCACCGACAGCCAGAGGAAGTAAGTGACCTCTAGTGGAAAAGCAAGCCTATAATCTAGAGAAATTTCATTTTTATTTTACTGATTGTATAGAAATTTACAGAAAAAAGGCTTAAACTGAGTTGTCAAAACCAAAAGAACCAGAGATCTAGTCGAATGCTAAATGTAACAAAATGCCAGCTAATGTAAATAAAGTTAGTGACCATAGGTGAGGGTAGAAATGTAGAGCGACCGGTAAACAGAGAACTGTGCAGCTCCTCCCCCTCTTCGTCACAACAGACCAACAGTGTCTGCAACACTGTGGAAGCAGCACAGCTCCATCTGTTCATCTCACGCCCCCTTATTCTCTCACTCATGAAGAAAACCTTGAAAAAAATTCAACTCCTCCAGTTGAGGTCAACTCTTTTCCATCTGAGGACCATGACCTCAGATTTGGAAGTGCTGATCCACACCTGGCTGCAAACCACTCCAGTGAGACACACTAGCTGCGTTTCCATTGCAAATGTGCGCAAAACTTTGTCGATATTCTGTTAATGTAAAAAAAATCACAGTCTCGCAACTGCGGTGTTTCCATTAAGTAAGAAACACTATTAAAGTCACGCGTGAATACATTTGTTCTCACGATAAGTCATTACAAACATGGCGGCAATGGATGTAAACACATAGCATATTGCTACGACACTAGCGCTCATCATCAGAGGAGACGACGGCGTCTTTTATCGAGGCTTTCCAGTGACAAGCTCCTACTTGGGAGCGGCTACGTATGCTGTGTTTTTGGGAAATTGTAGTCGGTGAGTTTACTACTTTCTTTTACTACTTCTGTGAGATTACTACTACTTCTACTTCCTGTTATCTTCTTCGTCATCGTCTTTTTCACCAGTAGAAACAGCTGGTTGTTGATCATGTGACTCCCGTGATGCGAAAAAAGTGTTTCCAGTGAAGTTTTGCGAAAAACACCAATTTTGATACGGCCGAAAAACCACCTCATCCTAGCACAAAAACATTTTGTCGAAAAACGTAATTTTTTTTCCCGAAATTGACGTGTTTCTATTGAGCAAATTTATTTTCGAAATTCTAATTTGTGCATTTTCATGGTCAATGGAAACGCAGCTAGTGACACCATCAAGACCACTTCATCCTCATGTATATAGCGGAGTCAAAATCCTGATGTCACTGAAACGGACCCCTTCGGGTGCAGCAGTAAAAGTACAAAAAGAAAAAGTTACGGCCCCCATCTTCTAAATGAGCTGCATGAAAAAGAAAAGAAAACAAAACTGCAAAAACAACAGTAAGATAATGCTAACCAAATGGCTCATTTACTCTTTAGCTAACATGGTTTTTCTGTCACTGCAGGATTTTCTTCAGGCGACATTATCCGATTAACACAGTAACTTACTGTGACACTGACCCCCAGAACCGAAAGTAAGAATCTTATTTTTGCACAAAAAGATAAAGAGCAATCCCTTGTTTTAAAAGCTGTTGAAATTCTAAATAATTTTTTTCCGTAGATGGGGTAAAGAAGGAGGCGGCTCAGTGAGGTAGGTTTTTATATCAAACAGCGATGTGACGTTATGTTTGAGTATAACCAAACACTGATTGTAGATTCATTTTTTTATTATGTTTTTACCCTTCAAGGCTGTTTGGATTCGTTGCGAGGAAACAAGGAAGCACAACGGACAATGTTAGCCACCTGTTCGCCGAGCTGGACCCCGATCAGCCTGCTTCAGCCATCGTCAGCTTCCTCTCCAAAGTGATGAAGCGGTGAAACCTCCATCGGCAGTTGGCCTCGTTGCAATCCTCTTTTTTTTTTCACAAGGACTTATGTCCTTTTTTTTTTTTTACTTTTTCTTGCTTTACACTCAATTTCTTTCCTCCTGTTTTTTTTTTTTTTTCTTCTCTCTCTGCCTTTTTGGTTCGATGGAGACTTTGTTGCAGAGTGGAGCTAGAGGACGTGTGGGGTGGAGCCGAGCACGTGACAAACATGGAGGCCGTTACAGGGACTTGAAGAAGGAGCTGAAGGAACAAAACTAGGTTCAGTGGAGGAACATGCCAGGATGTTTCAGGGTTTTCTCTTGAGTTTGTTGATTTACCAAAGGTAGTTGCAATACAAATGCAAGAATGATGTAGCTATTAAGCCATTATTATTATTATTCTTTCTTCTTTTTAAAAGATGAAGTGTTGAACAAATGAGTTCTTCTTGAACCTGTCTTCAGGAAAAAAAAAAAGTCGGCCTTAATGGCTTTTAGCAAAACAATGTCTGAAGACATTATGCATGTTAGCTTGATCTTTGAGCTTGGTTCAACTTTCCACAAGAAAAAAAACAAAAACAAAAAACAAGCAAAAAAGATAACTCATTGTGAAATCCTTAGAGGTCATTTTACGGGTCTGCTGTGCGTCGGAAAGGGCTCTGCAGTGAAACAACAACTGATCTAAACTGTGCATAGCAGACCTGAATCAAAAAGGACAAGAAGAAAAATCAAACCCTCTGAAGTAACTCGGTGTCAACGCAGCAACATTTGCATCACTTCGGCGTGTTGAAACACCTGGATCAACTCCGGTTAAAAAAAATAAAAGAAATAAAATCTTCTGGGGGCGCAGCAGAGACTCAATGACAGTCTGTCCACAAGATGGCGCCACACATCCAAGCTTGCACTTTGCCATCAAAGTAGACGTTTCCCTTCCTCCATCACCACCTCCTGCTTGCAGTAGTTGATCTGTTGATAGATGCTGACACACTGAAACACACTGGATAGCACCAGGAACTGGACCTATGCACTGTTCTTTATGCATGTTATTGTCCCCCCCAAAAATGCACCCTTTCATCAACATCCACTGAAACCAGGCTGTGCTCATTTAAAATAAAAGAAGAAAAACCAACCTTTAGATGGTTGGATGACTTGTCAAAGACTGCATGAAATAGACAACATTTTTATACTCTTCTCAGAGTTCTCAAAAAAATGCAACTCATTGTTGAAGTAGTCACATGACGGCGAAATGCTGTCGTTTTAGTTCACTCAAGAAAAAAATAAAAAATAAATAAATCCAAGGCTCTTGTTTGATTAACCAAATGATTGATTTAGAGTTAATCAAACAAGGTGCTCCTTTCTCCTTTTGGTTTTGCTGATTTCAGTTTTTCGAGCCAAATTTTATTGTTTGTTTCACGGTGTTGCCAAATTTCACAATCAGATACCGTTTAGGATAAAATAAAACACACACACTTTTACACAATGCCTGCTTGTTGAAACCCACACCACCGATCACAATAAGCTAAGTAAAATTGATATTGATTATAAATGTACATAGATAATCTACTTTGAAAGGTGACATAGCGAAAAAGTATTTATTTTTGTTGCTTTGGTCCCTCATGATTACTCATATATACATATATTGTACAGTCTAGATAAAGAAAAATGGGTTGAGAAAAAAAAAACTTATTTTGGCTAATGATTTCAAAGTCCGAGGATTTTGAAATGTGTTTGAATATATGGTGTACATTACTTTGTACATGTGTATGTTTGTTTTCGGCTCATCGTGTTTTTTTTTTCTTTTTGGGTTTTGCTTTCTCTCAAACAGAAGAGTTGAAGAAGAGTTCGAGCTGCATGGACAGAGTGCTGTTTTTCTGCGGCTGGAAAGAGCACGCTGAAGCATCGCAGTTGGTCAAATTTAGCAAATTTTCCAATATGCGAACAGCTTTTTACCCAGGATTGATCATTTTTTGCCAAAGATTCACTAGTTGCATGATTTATTTAGAATAAGCAGCTTCTGTTTCATTTTATTTTATTTTATTTTA